TTCCATCAGCCACTTTCCCTTCTATGCCTTTGAGCCATTAAGTAGAGCAGAGGAGAGGACCTTTAGCAGCCCATCAAGGATGTCCACCAAGATGGTGAAGAGAGTGCAGGAAGAGGATACCTTGCATATTTTCTCACCCAGCATAACAATCAGCATGTGTGAAGAAGACTTTGGGCATGCTTATGCACAGATATCCTCTGTTTATACATATGTATACATATATGTGTGATACATGTGCATGCCTGTGTGTGCATATGGATATGTGTGATTCTACATGTGCATGGGTGCATATGGCTTCCCAATCCTGCACAGATTGCAACTCTTGGGGCAAAACCCTTCCCCACCTCCAATGCACTAGGTCGGATAGTGTTGAATTGGTTCAGTTTAAGTTGGCTGGTGGCAAGCAATCTTCTTGTGACAATCAAATGGGTGGCGAGAGGGGTGACAGAAGTATTCTCTTATATCCCTTGGAAAGAAGGGCCTGATAAAAGTACCAGAAAAAGTGTTGCATACATTCATCTTGTTCTCCTAAAATAGTAATCATATGCTAGATGTATAGGCCTCTTTTCTCTAGGAGCCCAAGGCAACCTATACAGAGATATCCCTACATTTTATCCACACAAAAATAACCCTGTGTGGTAGGCTGATCTGAAAGAATTTGATTGGGCCCCACTTACCCAGTGAGTTCCTATTGCAGGGGATGGATTGAATCTGGATCTCCCTAGACCACTGTTTCTCAATCTTGACAACTTTAAGATGGGTGGACTTGGCTGGGGAATTCTGGGAGTTGAAGTCCACCCTTCTTAAAGTTGCCAAGGTTGAGAAACACTGCCCTAGACTTAATCCAGTACCATAATCAGTACACCAGTACACTATACCACTGGAAACTCCTTGAGGGCTGAGAATGTTTTGTAAGGGAATTATGAAATCAGATAAAATTCTATGTGCATTGGTGATGATCTTCTCTTAACATTTATTCTGCTTCTGACCCTAGAAGACTTGGTGAAAATTTTAAAGAAGCAAGCAAGAAGACAGATAAAAGTAGATTTCCCAAGAATCAGTTCAGCCAAAATCTCCAGATGACGATTTGAATGCATTCCATCCAAACCACTGGTAATTTTCAGAAGTCCCCAAGCCTAGATCAAACCAATCAGTCTTGAGCAGTTTCAAGATATATGGACCTCGTTGGCTTCTGCATATAATCAGTGTATCCCAGCATTTTCCCACCCTACTTTTCAGAGGCTCATACCTGGATGACACGCATGTTGAGGCCGGTCTCCTGGGCCAGCTGCTCACGGATATGCCGAGTGGGCTTTGGGGTGGCGGCAAAAGCGGCTTTGAGGGTCTCCAGTTGCTTGGCCTTGATGGTGGTGCGGGGGCCTCTCCTTTTGGCCCCCAAGTTTTGGTCGTCATTCTCATTGCTGCCCACCTCCTTATCGGAGATATTGGCACTTTCCAAATCCTTGGCATCATCCTGGCAGGGGTCCTGGGAATCTGGGGACAGGCTGGGATCACTACCGGTTGTGGCTGCAAGAGGAAGAAGCAGATATATACATACAAAGGGTATAGAGATTGTGTGTGTGTGTGTGTGTGTGTGTGTGTGTGTGTGCGTGCAACTTAAGGGAGAGAGCGGTCTGAAAAACAAATTTGACCTCAGTCATCATCAAGGCATTGAATCTTTTGCAGCTTTTTAAAAAAATTCAAGGGCAGGTATGCCAAGCTCATGGTTACAGTAAGTAAATACAAATAGTTTCCAACCTTGATAGTTCATCCCCTAGGTAAGATATGAAAAAATGCAGGAGGAAAAATGGATAAACCTCATGCTTGGACTGCCTTGAATCTCTCTCTGCCAAGTCTGTAGCCCCCTTTGAAACCCTAACCCTAACCCTTGTCATCATATCCTGTGGCATCAGGTTCCATAAATGATTTTAAACTGATCTTTGATCAAACAAATCTCAACTTGCAATATCATAAGGGAATGGGAGAAGCATTTTCCTCATCTGTTTTGTCCCCATGTATTTTATACGACTCTGCCTTGTTCTCTGTTCTCTAGAGCAGTGTTTCTCAACCTTGGCAACTTTAAAAGGTGTGGACTTCAACTCCCAGAAT